GCTGCAGGGAGGAGAGGCTGCCCGCTGGCTTCACGCACCATCCAGAGTCCGCTGGAGTCGGGCAGCCAATACAGTCAAGTAAATACTGATGATAATAATAGTGCAGTAACTTGCAAAGGAGGCCCCACTCTTGGTGCACAGAAGAAGATTTCAAAGCAGTCCAAAGCGGGTCTCTTCGGGGGAGGAAGAAGCCCCTGAGCCTGCATAGAAGTTAATCCAGGAACCGCCCAGGCCTTGCGCAACCCGCTCAGGGCCACATTTCACTTCCGAAGGGGGCAGCGCCAGACTCCTTGTTTGAGCGGGGGGGGGGGTTGCATTTCAAGGGATGAAACGTTAGACGGACTCCTTCTCCCCCTAATTCCCAGCCCCCACCACCACCCCATCTCCCAAAATGGGAAAACCAAGGGGCTGAAGTTTTAGGCACCATCTATTTGTGGGAGGAAGCCCTCTCGGCACCCCCCAGGCCACCCATTCTGCAGCCCTGATTTTGCCCAAGTGGACCCCCCCCCCAATAATCTGGAGGCCCTTCAAAGGCCAAAGGAGCATCTGCTGACCTAAACGGGGGAATTTATAAGGCCCATATAAGGTGCCACAAGACTCTGCTTTTGGCTTCTGGGCATTGGGTAGAGAAGGAGAAAAGAAAAGCGGCTCTCAGGGAATGGAAAGACGGAGGGAAGGAACAGTAATCTGTAGGCAAGCTGGTGAGCTGTGGGGAATTGTTTTGTATTACAGCTCCCATGATTCCCAGCCAGAGCGGCCAAAGTCTGACATTGCAGCTGCGAGAAACCAATGAGAAGTCTTGCTCTTCCTTCCTCTGAAACTGAATCTCATAGCATTAACGGGAAAGGCTATATCCTTGATAGAACAGGAAGGGTTCGTTGAAGAGGCTTCCTATTGTATGAATAAATAAAAAACATAATTAAAAAAGAACAGCCTTTCCTGTTAAACCATGGTATCGTTAGGCTAGATAAAATAATTTCTTCCTTGCTCTGTCCTTACCCCACAGCCTGACACCAACCTGCTCCAGCAAGCTCTGAAACCTTTATTTTTCCGCCGTCAGCTTATCTTCTTTCTGAAGGGCCCTCACACAAGGGGCAAGACTGCTCTGTGCTGGGCATGCCTTGCCAAGCTTTGCTCTGCCACAAGAGGTGAATCTTGCACTTGGATTATTCTAGCCCTGCCCAACCTTTCTTTCTCTCTCACAGGAAGTATTTGATGGGGTGCTGGATGAAGGTGCCGTTGCTGAAGCCCTGCGCACGCTGGGGCGTTCTGCCTCTGGCACAGAGCGTGTTTACCTTCATCTGTTACTTTCGGTGAGTTTATGAAGACTTCGCACCCAGCACTCTCCAGCCGAACCACCTATCCCAGTCCTGTTAAAACAAGGATATCTTGCAATGCTCTTTTGATAGAGTTCCTCATCATGTGCTTTTGCTACACTGCATGTTGGTTATTTAAATCCAAAAATGCCTCATCTCAGAATCTCTTCCAGCCCATTGTCCTGGAGAACCAAGTTCATTTAGAAATACTGCGTCCTGGTTCTTAGAATGTTTCCAGCAGTTGTTTTTCGTATTCTCTATTTTAATTATTGTTAATTACCTTGAGATTCAACTGAGTAGAAAGGCAGAGTTTAAATCAAATAAAGAAAAAGAGTCTAAAAGACCAGTACGATGCACTGGTTAACATGCTGGAAATCCAGATTCAACTCTATCTTGGACTACAGAAGCTCACAGGGTGACTTTGGACCAATCCCTTTCAACCCCACCTGCCTCATGGGTCTTTATCCTAGGGATAAAATGAGGTGAGATGCCTATGTAAGCTTCCTTGAACTCCTGGAGAAAAAGTGGGATATCCAAAATCTCCCCTGGCCCTGAAAATACAGCTGTTCTATTGTCAGCTTCCTACAAACGCATCAAAATCTTGTGAATCTTGTTTTCCAGGTTGTGAGGTATTTGTAGACACTGTGGGAAAGTTATGGATATTTGGACCAATGGAGCAGGATTTTTTTTTAACTTTCTCGTGTGTACTGCAGAAAGATATCTGCACAACAAATGTTTTCATAGCCTAAAGCCTTCCCATGTTTCTAATCTGTTTCATTGGCTGGATTTTTTCTGGACTTCAAATACAGCAATGAAACTGAGCAAATCTAAATAATTGAGAATAGTAAGTGAGGCACTGGATGTCATCCAGTGTGAATGTCCTAGGCTGGATCAGGGATATTCAGGGAAACGGAGACTACCTCTTTCTTAAGCTAGTGGGTTCCAGCTCAAACCCTAGAACACCTAGATGTTGGCTAGATGCTACCCTTGAAACACGGAAGGAACCATCTGTTCAGTCAGAGGATTTGTTCATTCAGGGCAGGATTGTCAACTCTGTGGGTGAGCCATCGGGGTCTCAGGCAGAATTCCTCCAGATGATCTACTAGAAAGACCTTCTGAATACTCTTTCCCTTTTTCTTCCTCCAGGATCGCTGTTTAAGTGACATCAGTATTCTTTGGAAATACATTCATCTTGAGAAGCTAGATCTTTCCTACAATAAAATCAGTGGTACGTGAGCCCCATAGCTATAGCCCCTCTACATGGTAAATCATTTTAGAAAGAAAGAAAGAATCTTCTCGTCTCCCCTTATGTGGCTCTGTAAACCTTGAGAAAAATGGAAGGGTTGTTTCTGGTTCACATTGCATGCTGTCACGGCAAAAATGTAACAGCTAGAATAGAAAGATGATTCCCCTGTTTTTTAGATCTGGACATAAAATGCAAACAACATTTTGTTCTGAAGCTAGAGACAAGAGTATATGTTAGAAGTCGCTGTTTATTGAATTGACTCTGAGTCAGCCTGGCATTTTCCAATTGAGTTAGGACTGCAATTCCCAGAATTCCCAGCAAGCATGTCCCAAAGCCAGCTCAATTCCTATTGGCAGTACAATCGATTGTCCTCCTTGGAAAAAGGTTGTATGCTAAATTACAATGTAAAATCAGTATTGAAGCAAGATGCAACTGCTTCTCTTTGGTTTTCTGGTCCATTCCACGGGGATGTTGATGATGATCAGGAACCCTTTGGAAGAGAAAACAAGTCATTCCCCAGCTCTAGGAGGAGGGTTAAAAAAGGCAAGGGGAAAGAGCTTTGCCTTGAGCATCTAAGTGGGAGTGTCCTTTACAAAGGCCCAAGAATACTTTACAGCCCCATGAAAGTAATAAAACTCAACCCATGTGGAATGAGTTCAAAAATTCTGCTTCTGAAGGGCCTATGCTTTGATTTGTTTTAAAGCTAAGTTTCTTGCTCTGGTAACTACAAGGATAGGCTTAAACATGCGTTGGTGAAATCTCAAAAGGCAAAAGAATCGCTGAATGTGATTTGCAGTTATCAGTGAACAGAACTTTGGAATCCTCTGTACGTATTGGCTGTACTTGGACGTAGCAGGAACAAATCTTTAAATTTGCAAAAATCACATGATTTGTGCAATGGAAGTCAAATGTTTCGAAAGGTAGATCAGGCAGACGTGCCCACCCAGCTTCAAACCTGAAAACCCTACAGTTAGCCTGGCCAACAATGCTGATTTGTAACACACCTTGAGAATATTGGAAGAGACTGACAGTGGCTTTGCAATGGAACTGATTACAGAATAGCTTAACTATTTATACACAGCATTCAAGGCCATTCAGACCTAATATTAGAATTAAGATTAGACCGGCATGAATTCCACGTATCTTTTGTATCCCTCACCCCACCCCATTTTTCTTCTTTTTAGATCTCTCTTGCATCAGTCACATGCCCTACTTGTTGGAACTGGATGTTTCCCATAATGCACTAACCACATATTTTGACTTCAGACCACCCAAGAATCTCCAAGTAAGACGCAAAATACAACTCTTTCTATGAGGTTTGAATCCAGCTCACCTGCAATTAGCTGGCCAGTCAGACTGCCTCGTTCAAGCAATCTAAATGGCAAAAATGGGGTTTTATATACAGTCTATTTCATAGAGATCAGTTGCATGTATCTTTTCAGGGTGAGAAGCTGAGTGTTCATATTTAGCAGAGTTCTCATGCCCCATTAACAGGCTCCTTTTGTACAAAAGCCCAACATTGGCTTTTCCCGCATCTCAGGAACTTTGTTGGTCTTCGAGGCACTGTGATTAAAACCTTTGTAGAAATTTGAAGATACGCACACACACATTCATTCATTCATTCTTGTTTTTCCAAATTATCCTTCTACTTTTTTACTCTCTCTTGCCTTTTGGTTATGTTTACACAACTGGTTAGTTTTAACCCAGGTCAGCTTTTGCTTTATTTTTTGGCTTAGCATGTGCAAACCCTGGCTTATTTATGTTCTATGCATTATTCAAGCCCAGAATGCTGGGCAAATGTTTATTTTACCCCCCTCCATGTGCCATGCCTTTTGACTTCTTTGCCCCTCTTCACTCAGGACCTAGCCAATTGTGGCTGATCTTGAAAAAGCTAAGCAGAATCAGACCAGTTTTGTATACTTGGATTAGAGACCTTCAGAAGAGTCCAGAGTAAAATTGACTGGGAAGTCAAAAAAAGGATTGGAAGAAGGCAGTGGCAAATCATCTCTATATTGTTGCTAAGAAAACTACATTTTCATGAAAAAATCAGGAGTAGAGCTTGGGTCTAGATGAAATTTCAGAGTAGGCTGGATAAATCAATTCAGAAGCATTTCTTATAAATTAGGGTTTCAGTGCCTGAGACCTGGGACCCTCCCCACAAAGCCATGTGTAACCTTCAGACCATCTCTAAAAGTTGCTACCAAATTGCAATTTTCAGTGAGACAGAAAGAAAAATACATAATGGGGGATATGCAGAAGTTAAATAAATCTAATTGCATATTTGTCCTCACTTCTGAGTTTTTTGTCTTGGCCCTGTCCACTTTTTGGAGTACAGCTCAAAGGCCACATGGAGATCTTTATCTCCTCAAAATTATACCCTTGTTATAATACTTAGGATTCTGTTTGGATGATTTTAAAGATAAATGGAATACTCATATTCTGGGGATTCAAAACCTAAAGACCAACTGAAGGTGGTGGTCTCCTTCAACTCTAAGGCATTCAAAGCTTGGCAAATCCAAGTGTTAATCTTTGACCAGAAATTACACCACCTCTGTTAATTCTTAAATGGTTAGGCATGTGTTGAAATGAAGTTTGAGCATGTGGAAGGAGTTTTCTTAAGTCAAGACCTAAATCCACTATCTCACACCTTGTGTGAGATGGGCGGCTATATAAATATAAATAAATAAATAAATAAATAAATAAAATGGGGAATTACTATTATAATCCTTGTCTAAAATATCTGCATACTGTGTTAATTTAATGACCTAGTTTACCATGCAAGAACAGACATTTTCAGTGGGTTCTCACAACTCACTGGGTTTTGGTACTTTGTGGTTTGGCATGTTGGGTGAGCTAGGTCATCGTATTCAGTTATAATGTGATTTATTTGTTTCAGCATCAGGTGTTATTCACACATAACAACGGTGTTCTGTTAACCCAGGTTTGGGGTTAAGAGAGGGATGTGACCTAAGCCACTCATGAGGAGTGGAAAGGGAAGCAGAAGAAGGGTCTGTTATAATCCAGGATGAGCAAACTGGTTTTAAGTTGCTGCTTGAATATAGGAAACACCAAGAGTGAATCGCATATCTCTGCATAGGAAAAGGCCCAAGGAGAGAAGGGCAAGAAGTTTGGGATCCATAGAGCAGGGTTCCTCAACCTTAGCAACTTTAAGATAGGTGGACTTCAACTCCCAGAATTCCCCAGCCAGCCATGCCTTTTCCCAAACTGGTATCTTCTAAGCATGTTGGACTGTAGCTGGCTATGGATGTGGGGTTCTGGAAGCTGAAGCCCAACACATATGGCACCAAGCTGGGGGAGTCTGACATGGAGAAAGCATATGGAGATGACCCAATGGAGTCCGTCAAAATCCATGAAATTGTTATTCACTTAATGACAGTCTTAAGCCAGGGGTCTCAGAGATCATGATTTCAAAATCTCTCCGAAGGACTCTTTTGTTCTCTAGATCTATTACTGTACTAAGACTTTCAGAAAATACCAGGAATAAGAGATAACTAGGCTAGCCTTAATTTTGGGTCAGCACAAATGCTTTCAAATGGAATACAAACGACATTAAGAACATTTCTGAAGTGTGGATAATGGACCTGTTGTTCAAAACCCATTTACTCTTTTTAGGCAGATGGATGAGTACTACTTCTGAATCACTTTTTGTCCCCAGATTGTCCCCAGATGACGGCGGCAGGCGGGCTGGGGTGGGCTAAAAGACAGCCTTGGGCATCTTCACATGTCCTTCCCCTCTTCTTGGTCTCTTTCCAGGTTGCAAATTTTTCCTACAATGATATTTCAGAAATGCAAGACCTTTCCAACTACCAGTCCCTCAAAAAGCTCATACTGGACAGTATCCTTTTTTGGCGAATGGTGCATTTAGGGCAGAGCAGACAACATGGGAATTGTATGTTGGGAAACCTTTCCTGGATCCCAGTAGGCTCCCTGTCCCACCTGCCTTTTTAAAAGAGGATTTTTTAAAATAAAAAATAAACAAATAGGAAGGTTGCAAGCTATAAAGCAAAGCCTGCACCAGCCTCTGGCATCCTGCTTAATTGCGGCAATGTATTTATCTCCACAGTCATCCCGTTAGGATGGAGGGCTAATTTGCCTTCCATTCACTGGATATTTTGCGACTGATCAAACCCACTATGTTGGTCGTTTTGTGAAGGGCCCATTTGCCCACGGCAGCCATGTTGTGAAAGCCGTCTCAAGGTAATCCAATTTGGGAACTTGATTCCCTGTGGATTTCCATTGAAGGCTTACCCAATCCAGTTATTTTTTTAAGGTTTTTTTTATCTAACTCTACAAGAAGCCAGGTTTACAGTGTGACTGCAACAGAGCGTCAGATGCTAGAGGCCCCTTTCTATATTAATTCCCTGAAAACCCATTCTTTGCCACGTTTTGCCTTTTGCATCAGTAATAGCACGCTTATTGTGTATGTAATGCTGCCAGGGGACTGCGAGGAATTGACGCATATTTCCTTTGAATTGTCTCCAGAGTGGGGCTGATCCACCGCCAAAGGGTCCCTTGGAACCCTGCTCTGCCTCCAGAGGAGAGAGCCAAATCTTGGGAGAAATTCTCCTGGCTTAGATGGGCTTTCAGATTTATTTTGTACCCTGATCTGATACAAGCAGCTTCCTTTTCCCGAACACAGAATGGCAAAGATACGTGAGGGCTTGAAGGGGAATGATTTCTCAGGCATGTACCGCCACCACCACCCCACTCCCCAAAAAGGCTACGCACAGTAAAGTCAGTAAATAGTGACCTGGAAACCCACCATGTTTCCAACTTCAAGATGTGGACAATTACGCCTGTGATTCACATGCATCTTCCCAAGGGAGCCCTGAGTCCCTCGCCCAGAGGCACAGAACTAAAAGAACAAACAAGATAGATCCCCATCACCTGGATACAGTCAACATTTGCCTAACCTCTTGCTTTCCTGACGTGATGATTATTTTCCCAAGATAATCAAAGCTACCTTACATACATATTTGCAAAACCTTACACAGAAGCGTGACGATTGACAAGTCCCATACTGCATATACCTACCAATAAAAGCAGTCCACTGTTTTTCATGCCAGCAAAGGTTTGTTTCCTCTCACCCAGGCTTTCAGTTTTCTATCACTGTATTCTCCTTTCAGTGATTCCTTAATTATTCCTCAGTTTAATCCAAGTCATTGCTCTTAAAGAAGGGTCTGTGGTATAATACCCCCCCACACACAAAGTTAATATTTTTCTCTCATGTTAATTTTTCTCTTTTCTTCATCCTGGGCAAGTTTTACACTTTTAAGGAAAATCAGTGCTTAATTTTCCAAATTAAATTCTGCTTTTTCTCAGCTGTTGAGCTACCAACATACTCTCTCCCATTGACAGATGCTTTTGCTTTGAACTGTGAATCTGAATCTTTCTATTCCAGATTCTTCTTATCGCTTCCCCAAATTCATTCCCACTGATTCTGTATAGAACATTCCCCAACGGCTCAGGACTCCAGTTGCTCCAATTCAATTCATTTCACAGCTTTTTGCAAGAATTGACATATCCAGCCATTTCCGCAGTTTAGGTTCTCGCCATAAAAGAGACTTGAAAGATGCTTTTTAAAAAACAAAACCCTTCTTGCTGATGGTATGTTAAAGATTTTTTCCATGCAGACCAAAGCATGAAAGTGTTGCATATGTTGAATGTTCTCTTGGAACAACAGATTTTTAGGAACCATTCAGGACCATTTTTACAGAACCCTAAACACACCCTGTTGAAAATGATTGTGTGTGACATCTTCATGCAATGATTTTTATGCCAGGGTAAAAATACAGAGGGTGTGACTTAAGGGAAAATTTAGAAAAGCAGGATTATCCCCTTGCCACTGGCACCCACCCCTCTTCAGTAATTTGGCACATTCGACAAAGAGAGCCTGGGGGTGCTGAAGGCAAAGCGTTCTGCAAGGTCATCTTGGCTCAAGCAAGTCCTGTTTTTTGTTTAGTTTTAGTTTTTTTTGTTTGTTTGTTTTTTGCTAACCTGACCTAAATAGTCATCCTTCCTAGCCACAATGAACATTCAATCCCTAAAGATGCCCCCTGGCTGCATCTGTTGCTGAGACCATCCGGCCTATTTGCAACCCCTGCTTTTTGTCTCATCAGAACCTCCTAGCAAATCTTGCCTTCTGAGTAGCCAAGAGGTCTCCCAACCCCTTGATTTACTTTGGAGATCTAGCAGATTCCCACACAAGGGACCAACGGCCCCCCAGGTGCTCTCAAATCGGATGTCCTCAGTCCCAATTCGTCTCGTCCTTGTTGAGGATGATTGCAGGGTGGTCCCAGAACAACAACTTTGCCTTGCGAACGCGGGCTAATATTTCAGAATGCAGTTTCTGCTGGGCAAATGTGATCTGTCGCCTCCGGCCCAGGCTGCTTAATGCTGAGAGCCCTTATAAGCCACCACAGTCCTTGGACTTGCACCTGGATCACACAGTGCTGGCTTCCATCGCTAGGTGGCCTGCACAGCCAGCAAAGGCCATCACATCTTGTAGCTCTGTATGTTGGCAAAGGCAAAACAGGGCTTCTGAGTGTTTAGTGGCCCATTAATGTAGCTTTTTTCCTCTAAAAATAGAAGCAATGCCTTGTGGAAGCCCACCAAGAGTGGGCAACTTGCCCTTGTAATGTTTCACAACCCCCCCCCCGAGATTCTACAGGGCAACCCCAAACCCTCTGTCACTTCTCTCTTGCGGAGGGGGGCTCTCTCTAGTTACCGTGCTCATTGCTGAAGGAAGTGGGATCTCCCCTCAGTTTCCTGCATCCTCTCCTCTCCTCAGTGGCAGCAGCCTGGAGCTCCTGGCAACCCAAACCTGGAGCTTCTCTTGCCACCCCTCGGACAGGGCAGAGTCAAGCCTGAGAGCTGACCGTGTTGCAGAAAAGGAGACCGTACCTGATAGGTTATGCTTGAGGCATTTTGCAGCTAAGCAATTGGGCTCAAATGGGAGTGTCCAGATTACCTTATTTGTATGTTTCCCAAGATGTTTGGCTGGGACCATCCTGGTTAGGTTTTGGCTTAGCAATTCCCTTTGCATTTTTAATTCTCCCCCCCAGCCATCTACTTACCGCAGAAACCATCATAAAGTGAAAACAGTGAAATAGAGCCCTGAATAGAAAGATATGTATTTTTAAAAATTCACCCGAGATTAGTCTCTGTTCAGTGACACTGATGTCTGAAGTAGAGGAGAATCAGTGGAGGGACTTGAAATTGGCAAGCGAAGAAAAGGCCCGTGCGCTCATCAGCCCAGTTCTAAGTTGAAAGTTGCACTGGCTGAGAGGATCCCGATGAAGAGAGAGGGGGAGAGGTGCAGAAACACTGTCTGCGTTTCAGGGAGGAAAGTGAAGGCGCCGTTATGGGCCACAGCAGAGGTGGGCGAGAGTCTCTCCAGACTTCGGTAGTGAAAGCATTTGTGTTCTTTGCGCTGGCAACTGGAGTAGGCACTGACCATCCCTTCTTTAATAATGAGTTTGACGCCCCCAGGCCAACAGAAGGGGAGTGAGAATGAGCCCCTGGGAGGAGGACGTAGGTAGCTTGCTTGAGAAAACTCAAGAAGTTGCAAGCACCTTTTGGAAAAGATCTCTGGAAAAAGCTCATAAACCAAGGAGGAAATCCATGCTTTAAAAAACAGCTTAACAAGGAGACATGAGCTCAGTGGAGCGCTGAGTGGAAAAGAAAAGGAAAATGGATAAATTACACAGAAGAGAGAGTTTGGCTTCGTTGAGCTCTTAACCCTTTCCAGCACCCTTCCACAATTCCTAGAATGTTTCCTAACCAGCCTGGGTAACAACCAGTTCTGGGAACTGCAGCCCAATACATCAGGTGGATGCAGCTCGGAGAGGCTGTTAAAACATTCCCAAGAAAAGGCACTCCTGTTTGAAGAGTAGAAGAACTCAGGGAACGGAGAGGAGCAAAATGCTTCATGCTGCACCCCTGCAGCTGCATGCAGATTGGGGAGGCCTGAATGCCTCTTGTGCCCAAATCAGCCACTTGTGCCAATCCAGGACTGGCAACACCACTTCTCCCCCATCACCATCCTCTCTGTTCGGCAGCTGATCTGATCAATCTCCAGCTCAGCTGGGGCACAAAAGCCTCCCTACAAAAACAACTTTATGGTGATAAGCCAGAGCTCTGCATTGGGGGGCTCTCTGACCTCATCTGTCCTCCCAGCCCCTCAGCTCTCCCTCCTCCCTGTTGGAAAAGACCCTTTTGTTCAATTGCTGTAAAATGCTGGACTAGCTAAGGAAAGAAGGGGTGGATGGATGGATGGATGGATGGATGGATGGATGGATGGATGGATGGTGAATTGGGAGCTCTCCATCTAGTCAAGTCATCCACAGATCTCAATGTTTGGCAGATGGCAGCAGAGAAGAGAGTTGTCAGTTGAGGTAAACTTGTTGCTAAGGATTTGGGGAGCAAAACCTGCAGCTGTGGAGAAGGCTGCAGGGCTCTTAAGGAGGCTTCTTCCCAGCCATTCTTCGATTCCACCTCTCTGCAGTGGATTCCCAACTCCTTGGTGGGTTTCTCAGCTCTACTGAGTCAATCCCCTCTTTTTTGGAGGCCTCACTTCACATTTAAAATCATCCCCAGATTTCTGCAGAATCTGCAAATCTTAACGAGAGCAGCACATTGCTTGATTCTTTTCCTCACAAGGCAAATAGTGAATCCAAACTGGATTATGAATTTCAAACCCCTCTGATTCCTGGTTAAAAAGCAGTGGTTAACAAAGACCATGTTTTGGAATGAGCATCCCCTTCTTTCCCTGTAAGAATTTTAATTTTCCCTTTCATATTCTTTAAAAGTCAGCCAGAGGCATCCGGTGTGCCACATGGTACAGTTTCCCAGTAACAGTAATCCTTGGTAAGGGTTATCCAGCAGACCAGTAATCAGGAGTTCAGAAGCTAAGCAGAATTGGGCTTGGTTAAAGCTGGAGGGGAGATTGGAAATCCTAGGGTTGGAAGCTAGACTGGGAAGAAGTTGAGAAATATCCCAGAATAAGCAATAATTGTTGCCAGAAGATTTAGTGGATGTGTTTGTGAAATCATTGGGAGTTGAACTTGACTCAGAGGAGAAGTTACCTTTTAGTTCAATCTCCAGCAGTAGCTCTTGGGGTCTCAAGCAGAAGACTTCTCTAGGCCTTCTGCAGACCATTTTAGGAAAAGATCTAGGAAGCAGCCTGGTACCAGACTGGACCTTTGGTCTCTCTAGCCCAGTATTGTTCCAGCTGCCTAGTTTTTTCTAAGTTTCAGAAAGGAGTCTTTCCCAGCCCTACCTGGAAATGCCAGGAGATTGAATCGAGGGCATCGACCTGGAAGCATGCGCTGGGACACAAAACTGTGACTGATCCTCTCTGGGAACAAATCTCATTTCAGATTTGAGCGATGGGCTCTTTCAGTTAATAAAACGAATGGGGAAGAAGCAAGCAAAAGATTCCCCCCACCACCTTCTTGCTCCACAGAGCACTGTCTATAAGAGCAGAGGAAGGGCGTAATACTTTTCTCTTGGAAAAACAGTCTGCTTTTCCAGAGCTGTATAGGCCTTTTTGATTTTGGAGCACTTGTGAGGAAGGAACGTCCAAGAAGAAACTTTGTCGGGGAGCCAATGCAACTAGGTTGCTCAAGTCAGCATCTCCCCCAGGTCCCATTCCATTCATGCAGCATTTCTCCCCAAGCCTTCACCAGTGAGCTGTGCCTTTGACCTCCTATCCTCTAGGACGCTGTTTCATTTCTTAATTCTAATGCTGATGCGCAGATAACAACATCACAGAGATTCGGGGACTGGAGAATTGCCACAACCTGACATATCTGAGCTTGGCAAATAACAAAATCAAGGCAATTTCTGGCTTGCAAAATTTGCCCATCAAAACTCTCTGCTTGGTGAGTCTGTATATGTTTCCTGAGATGGTCTTTTCTGAAGGAATATGTTGGATTCTGTAAAGAATGATTGGGGTTCTTCAAGCTCCACCTTTTAAGAATCTGGGTCTATCCTGAGTTAATTTAAGGACAACCAGCACCTGGACAATATGGAAGACACTTAATTCTGCCTTCAGTATTTCAGCGCAGGGAGGTATTTCTTAGTGATGGTGCATGAAGTCTGTAGCAGCAATCGGCTGAATTGTTTTGACCTCACAGAGAAGTTTGGCAAGCCGCAAGGTTTGACTGGTTGGTTGCTAGCTTTACTTAAAATTATTTCTACTTCTCATGCAGGATAAAAAATCCTACCAAGTGGCTTGCATGCAATATTGGAATCAATTAAAACACTCCCATACCCAACACATCATGATTAATACTTTTTAAAAACCAAAATAATACCTCTTTTATGTGGCATTTTCCCAAAAAACAGTTGATGGCAATGGACCTATGTATAAGGTTAGTGTAGAGGGCAGAGGGAATGGCCTTGAAGGACAGGAGGAAGAGCCACTACCAAGGCAACAGTCAGACAAGAGGGGCCTGAGCCCAGGCCAAGAAAATAACTTGAGAAACTGTCTCAGACAAGCCCCTCCCTGGTTCACATGACATTGGCGTCATAGTCCAGTCTACCTTGTAGGGCTCTGCCTTGTAGTGAATTTGCAGAGGAGCAGGTCAATCCCAAAGGGTGAGGGATTAGAAGAAAGGAAACGGAGCAAATTGGTTGTGGTGGGAAGTATTAGAGGTCTGAGGGGGGTCGGGAGAGGACCAACAGAAAAGCGCATGATCAGAGGTGGTGAGTTCAAGCAAGCTTCCATTTGTGGAGTCCTTGGGGTTCTCTGAGCTCAGGGTTGACTG